TAATAATGATTTATTTTCATGAGAAGCAAAATTAAAAATATATATTTTTCAAGGCGCGCGTATAAAGAGGACCATAAACACTAATGATTCACACGGTTGCATTTGTAGTACATAATTCTATTTTGGTAGTTAGCGCCTCCTACACCATATGTGATGCCACTTTTTTTGACGTTGGAAAACCAAACTGATCGTGTTAAACATATAAAGTTTTAATGTATCATTGTGAAACCAAAAAATTAAGTTTTTTTGGAAAAAAATTCAAAAATTTTATAAAATACCAAAAAAAAAATAATAATGCTAAAAAAGTGCTAGGCCATTTTTTTTGGTGCTAAACTAGTTTCAAAAGTGCTAGATCTAGCACTAAAAGTGCTAAATTGGCAACACTGCGGATGACATTAGCATTTTCTACCAGTACAAATACGATACGTCTTTAAAAAACCCTTATTGCAAGAATTTCAGCCCTTATATTTGAATCATTTACTTTTAATGGTCTTGTATTGAACCCAAAAAAGCTAAAATACTAAGATTTAGACCTACACCAAAAAATAACGATTTTGCTGCATTTGTAAATGGTGAATTAACACATGAGTCGGATAGTGTTAAATATCTTGGTTTGTATTGCAGAACAATATAGCATGGGATATGCACATCAATTCAGTTAAGGAGAAAATAGCCCCAGCATTAGCAGTGCTGCTTCAGAATCTATGATATATAGTTGTTTAACGCAAACGCATATTAATTATTAAGTAACAGCGTGTGCTTATAATAGAAACAACGTTAACATAAAACCTTTGCAATGCACTATAGGTCAAATGACCGATTTTTCTGTGCAAAATTGAAAAAAATCAAAGTGTCGGTTTTCACGAGTTGTTTTTGTTTTTGTATTTAGAACACTCTACAATAGAGAGACGTGATATTTATTAGTGCTAAATATGAAGTACCGTTACACATCTGGGTGTGCAAATCGCTCAATATAATTTATTTTATAAATATGCTTATATTTTTGTGGTGCTTAACCAACATTGAGTGCGCATAATTTCGATTGTGTTTACAATAATTAATTAGTGTAAAATGGAAAATATAGATACAAGTGAGCATAGTTATATTAAATCAAAACAACCTCCGTAAAAAATCGATCTTTTTGAAATATGGCGGAAAAAGTTAACAAAAAGAAAAAAACTGATGCTGTTTTCAAACATTAAGTGAGCAAAATTGATGTCGACAACATTTCGGATGAAAGAGAGAAATATTTAAAGCAAACAGTTCATTTATTTTGCTGAAAATTAGCGCAAAGTTGGTAAAAATGTCACAGAAACATGAATGTTTTCAGAGACAAAAATCATTAATGGCTATATTCGGATTTAAATTTTTTGCTTAAGAATTGTTCAGAAAAAACGGCATCAACTGAGAAACGTGACACCCCAAAAGCATATTCCACTTTCCGCGGATGAAGCTCTAGCTTTCCTTCTAGAATATAACTTTTCAAAAGAGTGGTATAATTCAAGCGTGTAATTTAAGTTGAAATCGGATAGAACATATATATGAAAGCTATATCTAAATCAGATCCGATTTGAATTAAATTTGGCAGAGGCATTTCAGATTTTTGTTGTTTTCTGATTTATGTTAGGTTTTAACGTGAAATCGGATGGAACATATATATGGATGTTATATCTAAATCTGACCCGATCTCAAACTAATTTTTCTGAGTTGTTTTAGCCTAAAAAAATGCAAACTAAATTTTACGATAATCGGAAGTATTTTGTGGGATTTGAGTTACTGGAGCTATATTTAAATCTGAAACGCTTTGAACCAAATTCGACACACTTATTTGCAGACTCAAAAAAATCGTACAAACCACATTTCATGGTCAACCGTTGTACATCACCAATTTGGTCCATTTTAAACCTCAAATCGGATGAAAATATATATGCAAGTCATATCCAAATCTTATTTTGCAGACTCCAAAAAAAAAAATTGTACCAACCAAATTTCATTGCAATCCGTTGTATATCACCGATTTGGTGCATCTTAAACCTGAAATCGGAAGAAAATATCTATGGGAGCTATATCCAAATCTGAACCGATTCTTTCCAAATTCAACAAAAACAATTCTCGTAACAAAAAAATCAGTTGGGCCAAATTTCATGTCGAACACTATGATTTTGTTGCCGCTATTAATTTTGCACAGAAAAAGTGGTCATTTGACCTATAGTGCAATGTTGGCAAAATAAAGCACTAAAGTTGGTATACAATTAACCGTCAAATTACTGCACTATCCAACTTTTTGGAAATATATGTAACAATGTGCTTCCAATTTATGGGTTGTGTTTTTTCATTTTAGGTTTTGTACTTTTAACCTTTTACTTCCTTTTTTATAGAAAGATAGTTGTTTTTTTGTTTAGTATTTAATTCAATTTCCTATTGGTTTTTATTGTTCAATTTTTGGTAGCTTTAGGGTTTGTTTTATGTACAATAGTTTAACTTATTTTAGGTTTAGGTAATTTATTTTAGGTTTAATATTTCAATTTTTCTATTTCAGTGTTGGTTATAACATTGTAGGCTTAAGTTTTAAAGTATTTGTTTTTATATTTCATTTCATTTTTTAACTGGTAAAAATTTTAGGTATAAGTTTTAAATTCATTGTTGTTGTAAAAATTCATGTTTTATGTAATTCAATTTAGATTAAGTTTTAATATAGGATAATATATATATATATATATATATGTGTTGTTGTACTTAAAATAGGGAGGTATCTTAAATTGGGAGCTTTACAAAAATCAAGGCCTATATGAACAATTTTTTCTAGAGATGTTTATTGTCCTCTAAAAACCTAGGATGTATATTTACTTGTTACTAGGTCAGCAAAATGTAGCAAAAACTTCTAAATATATAAAATAGGGCGATACCTAAAATGGGGGCCAATTCAATTATGGACCTAAGTCCATACTTTTTAACGGAAGCGTGTTTAGTCCATTGGGAACCCTAATGGTCAAAATAGAACAGTTTTCGTTGACATATGAATAAAAAATCCTAAAAATCGGGCGGTATCGTTGTGTGGGGTCAAAATAGATCTGTTTTCATCGAAAAATGAAGCTAAAATCTCTAAAATACTGAAAATAGGGCAGTATTGTTGTGTGGAGGATATGTCAAAACGTGGACCGATATTGGGCATTTTCAAACTTAAACTAAGTTTGGACAAAAAAACTACCGTGCACCAAATTCGGGCCAGATCGGGCAGACACATGGACGGACATGGCTAAATCGAATCCAAATTACCTGAAACGGATTTCGTCTTAGCATATGTGGTGTCTAAAACCATTATTTCGAGTAGGCACATTCTCATCGTATCAGGGTTTATACGATATACCTTCTGTAGGCAAAATGATGACCTAGACTTATCTCTAGTTTAGTGAAAGAGTTGCAATGGTAGAAATTGGTGTCCTGATCACAGGAAAGGCTACCCGGGTATTTGACACAAAAGTTCGGGTTAAAAAACCAGTTTTCCGGAACTGATTACTTCAATATGGGTATCGTTGGAAAGCTTATGAAAATAACTTTCGAACAAGAAGAAAAATGTGGGCAAAGGTCGACCACCTGAAAAAAGGGTGTTGGGTATAAAAATCAAGTTTGAAGACAACATATTCGTTAAAAATCGATATTTCAGGAAAACATATTCCTCAAATATCCACTCCACTTTAAATGTTAAATTACAGCCCATTCTGTGGTTAAATGTACTCACAGACTGTAAGATACTTAAGTTTTTTTGGGCGCGTTATGAACTATTCAAAATATTGGACTAATAGATTGCAAAATGCAAATTGCAAAATGCAAATATGCACACACACACTGGAAAATACTTTGAAACAATTAAACTTACCCATGTCGAATTGTGCTCCCCCCAAATGTAAAAATTAGCATTTCTAACTTCGTCGCTTTTTAAGACGTATGGGGGGCTACACCAAAATTTGGACATATGTTGCTAAGTAGACCCCTTAAATGCAAAATTAGAGTCCACGCGACAATAATAAACGGGCATGTAGACCCAAGAAACCTTGAATTTCAAATAACAGACAATCTTCTTTAATTAGAAGGCTACAAATACTTTGTTCTTCTGCAAAAAATACGACTTACGTTTTCCTCTCTATATAATACGATTAAACTTTTTCTTCTGTATATAATATGACTTTTGTTGTCGTCTTCTGTAATGAAGACTGTCTACGTTTTTTCTTCGTTATAGAAGGGGCCTAAGTAAAAATTTGCTAACCTGCCTTGATTTTAGTGTCTACTTTCATCGTTATGACAAACATCACCGCCAATGATGTTTTACTCCCTGTCCTTTGATTTACTATGTTTTCTGTGGTAGAGAAATATTAAGCATGAAAATTGGGATCCAAAAAATTATTTTTCTGAAGAACTTAGGAATTACTGTCAATTCAATGTTCTTCAACCTTCTCATGAAATTATTATTAGGATAATAATTTAGGATTAGGATAATCAAATGTATATTGATCCGCGTGAAGAAAAGTAGTGTAGGTTATCAGTAGACAACGAAATTTTATTTTTTTTTATTATGAATTAGGCTCAAGTTTTGGGACGGAGCATTTTTTGATTCTAAGTAAATTGTTATAGAAGCTGATTGTACAGTAAAAAATTCCAAACTTTTATATATTTTTTGCTGGGAAAAATACTTAAAAAATCAACACTTAAAGGTAACAAAATAAAAGTTCTCAAATATACAGTAGACTCTCACAATTTCTAATGATGGATTTTGCTCAATTTATCAGTTCCTGAATAATGAAATATGTGAAAATCAACTGTATATATTGTAATTGTCAGTTGTTCATATAAACACTATGTTTATTGCAAACATAAATTTAAACAAATTAATTTAATTTAAAAGAAACGTGTAAAATTCATATGATGATTTATATAAAGTGTTTTCGTTTGATATTATTAAATATTTTATATATTTATAATACAGTTAGAATTATATTGCAATTTTATTACACTCTTAATTTTAAATAAACATTTGAAGTTTTTATATTCGTGTATATAAATAAAGCGGTTTGTATTAAATTATATGACTTATTTTTTTTTATAAAAGTATACATTTATAATTATATTATAATGTGTATAATAATTTACTACAAGACCTAATGGAAAATATTTTGTATCTACAATATGAAATTAATACAAGATTTAGTGCACATTGTGCATATATTAATTTAACAGCATTGCATTGTAAAATAACTACCCGAAAAGGGTTTTGGAAAATTATTGTTGAAGAGATTGCTGTAATGAAAGAAAATTTTCATCATTAATATCTTTATTAAAATCATTAATATCATCATTAATATCAACCTTAATTTTTTTGCCTTTTTTCCTTTTGTTGTCTATAAACGTTTTTACTTGTGCTGGGGTTCTGCAGCATAGCACTTCATTTTCAGACACGACCCTCATGCACTCCTTGAGAGATGGCAACTTTTCCATTGAAGAAATGTCCCCAAATTCAGCAGTCAAAGCTTCTTGCTCATCGATTGTCCACCGGCATTTTTTTGTTTTTCCGCAAGAAGTATCTGTAAAAATTACACAATAATCATTTCATAAGCCTAAAACAGATGTAACAAACATCCTATTTAATAATGTCAAATGAAAATGAATGCGAACAAAAGATTAAAGTCGTTTAAGAATATAACAGTTTTATCTTTCTTTATTAGCATTCACTTTTTTCGGCATAGCACAGTGAAAAATTGCACACGAAAAACCTGACCAAAACCAAATGCAATATAAATTATGCAAACAAATATGTACTCCAAATTTATTTTTGATTAGAAAATCTAATATAAAAATAGAACAGTGTTTGGCTTGCTTGTTTGCAGGGACGTACGCAGGGGGGCGGCCCGGGGGGCCCGGGCCCCCCCCGAAATGAATTTTTTTCACAGTAAATTTATGTTTGCAACAGCGAATTTTTTAATTTTGTACTACCGGCCCCCCCCCGAAATGAAATCCTGTGTACGTTGCTGCTTGTTTGGGATACCATAGTATTTTGTTGTTGCAAAATCGTCAGGCAAAATCCCATTATTGTTGTTTTTATAAAAACAACGTTTGTTTATGAGTGGAGAACGATGGTAATGTTATAAAAACAACAATAATGGGATTTTGCCTGACGATTTTGCAACAACAAAATACTATGGTATCCCAAACAAGCAAGCCAAACACTGTTCTATTGATAGACACAGGCACGGTCGACGAAGGGGTTTTTGTTGTAACAGACAAAACAAACTTACATGGTTATGTTACTTCGTTCAGGTGGAACGAAAGCATAACAAGTGGAGAAAGATGAAAATGTTTATAAGTGCGGTTGTAAGATTTAGAAGATTTTCCGAAAGAATTTTAGTTTTATGTAATTCTTTTGTTCCTCTTCTATTGAGCTTACGATCTCGTCACTTGGGTAAAAAATGTTTTTTGTCATAGAAGTTATTTTTTTTTTAATAACTTCTGGGGAGAATATCCCAGACAAGAAACAAGGGAACTGATGAGGATTGGTGGCTCTTTCCGAAACCTAGGTATTCCCTGCCTTACCCCCTGGTAAACATTACCATCGTTCTCCACTCATAAACAAACGTTGTTTTTTTAAAAACAACAATAATGGGATTTTGCCTGACGATTTTGCAACAACAAACTAATATAAAAATATTTAAAACAAGTAATGTACTTTGTTCATATATATTGGAAACAACAAACCGATTTAAAATATTATAGAAAAAATAGTTTGTATTGGCTCTGTTCCAGAACCTGCAAGAATCTACTAGTTTTGAAATTTTTCCCATATCGTAAAGAGGAAATCGGTTATCGTAGTAAAAACTTTAACATACCTGCATTTCTGGAACAGACCAATTATTATTGCATTTGTGATTAATCTGTAAAATGTCAAATCGGCCATGATATCAAATCTTTACTGGATTTTAAATAAGGCAATTTGGGGAGTTTGAAAGTGCCGGTAGCATAATCTAAAAAAATATTTGTACTGTTTAAATAATTTTGTGAGTGGACCAAAAAGGCCACATTAATACTCAGTAGGAGGGTTAAGTGAAATGAAATATAAAATCAGGAATACAAAAAAAAAAAAATTAAGCTAGATCATAATGCATTTGATTTTGGTCATGGTTTTCGGTAAATTAACCACTGTGTATTTTGAAACATAAGTCTACGCAAGCTTAGTTATAGTTTCTACTCAATATACTTACTATCAAGTTTCTTATTGTAGGTACTACTAGTCTTCCTATTATACTTACTACTAATTTTCTTTTTTACCAAATTTGCGCCATATGTAATATTGTCTGATTCATCAAATGATGACTCAGATTCGGAAGATATGTTTCCACGAAGATTATCAAAACTATTATTTTCGGAGTTTTCCTCATTCCTACAACCAGCAGCTGACAGCAAAATCTTGGACACTGTAGTGATTTCCGCCATTGGTACCGATACTCTATAAATACTTTTGTGTATATCCTTATGGTGCCCAAGAAAATTTGCTAGCTTATCCACTGTGGCTTCTTCAACGTTTAGCAAAGCTGTATACGTTGCTATATGCTTCCTTAATTTAGTTCCTCTTAATGTGTGAGGAATAGTAGCCCCACACTCTAAGGCAAACTTGCGTAATAACGGGCAAGCTCTTATATATTTTTTTGATACTCCTGATGATCCGGGAGCCGAGAAAATATAGTGATTTGATTTCGGGATTCCGGCACTATTGCGATGCTTTAATATAAGGTCAACTGCCTTTCTACTTAAAGGATCCAGCAATATGCTGACAGTACGTCCTAATTTGCCTCTTAGGGTAATTCTTACATACTGTTTAGCGAATTCAAAAGATTGGTTAGAAATATTATCAAGAAATCCAGCTTCTATATTGTCAGTAATAGTTTCCTTCTTATTGTAGTTTTCAATAGTTATTCTCTCGATCTCACCGGCTCGTCGTCGATTGAACACTTGTAGACATATTAGAGTAGTTTCCAAAAGATTTTTCCAATCTTCAAAGATAAATTGTTTAGTTAATGTAGCTATAGAATGTACCATTTTGGTTCTTAGAAAATCATAAAGTTGTTTGATATCTTTTTTGTTTGGCAAATCTTCCTTCTTAGATCTTTTTTTGTTTTCTCTATCTTCAATAGCTGTTTTATTTATTTGAGTGGGAGTCTCTTCAACCCACAATGAAACAAAATTGTCCAAAAGGTCTTTCATATCAATATTTTGATTTTTTATGAACTCATTCTTTTGTATGTTCGCACATTTTTTTATCAAACCAGATAAGTTGGTGGCAACTGCTGGAGTAGAAAACCCCCGACCAAACTCCCACTTTGCAGTTTTGCGTAATGCTTCAATTGTCATATCAAACAAATGTGGCTTAAAAATTTCCTTCAACTCCTTTATTTCAGGATGTAATTTTATGCACTCAATTTTGAATCGACCCAAGAGTCTCATGTTCGCTCGAATTTGATCATGGTGGAGAATATCAGGTAACTTTTCGGATAACCTGTTGCCGTATCTAATTATTAGTTCGTCATACCGAATGACCTGTGTAATTTCATCGTTTCGTAGAACGGGAAAAATCGCTGTTTTCATTTCTGTGTTTGCCAATTCGTGTACGTATTGAGTGATTTTCCTACCTTCAATGAAATTGTTCCGTTTATTTTTTTTATTAGAGCATTTACTAATATGAGTTCTTGCCGAAGTGATGCTATAATACCCTTTACAGTGGACGCAGCATACGTAGTGGTCTGCTTTATGGTATGCTTCTGATTGTTGTCGTCTTGTAACGATAAGTGAACCTGTATTTTTATCATGAGCGGTATTATGTATAAAATCTCCTTCTTTTCGGAGCTTATCAAATATTTCTCTGCGTTTTCGGTTTCCTTTTGGTAAGGCCATTGCCATTTTAACCATATTCTCCTTTTTGTGCCTCAAACAAAAGTGTCGAGCAATCTTACATTGTAAGGTTTTACAAAACACACAGAAATGTTGCTTTGATTTTTGCTTCGAAAATGGTACTGTCAAAACATCGACTTTTACTGGTTTAGGTATAACCTCTATGAAGGAGCTCACATTTGTGCTATTGTTGTTGTTGCTAGAATCGGGGGGTAGAAATTCTGACGTAGAGTTTCCTGGCAAAGTTTCGATTGTAGAATTTATTGTGCTTATATCCGTAAAACCTACACAGTCACTGGTTTCTTGTGGTTCAATTGCCGTTGAGTTTTTGAAGTGCAATTGATCTGTAGTCCGCATTTCAGGGGACTTTCTATTAGATATTGCTCCCCATGACGATTCTTCTAATCTGTCCAATGACAATAGCGGCGACCTAATTCCGCTAGTTGATCCTGTTTCCTGTAGTATTTGTGGGTTTTTTACGGATGTGTAACCAGAAACGTTGTGTATTACCATACCATTTGAGTCAGGTGGTAGACAATCGGACGAAAAGTCTTCTAATTGAGTTTCAATTGTAGAATTTATTTTGCTTGCATCCGTGGTATACAAAGTATTATTGGTTACTTTGGGTTCAATTGCGGTCGAGTTTTTTATACAGCTAAGGTTAATATTCTGCATTTCTATATATTCTTCAGGATAATTTCTATTAGATATAGTGCACAAAGACGATTCTTTTAATATGTCAGCTGATGACAATGGCTGCGACTTTTTTATTCCTTGTTCTTTTCGTGGGGTTTCTTCAGATAACCCCAAAGAATTAATTGCTACAGTTTCCCAAACTTCGTTTTCTGGTTCATCAGTTGTTGACCTCTCCCATTCAGTGCATATTTCCACAGTAAAATCTTGAATATATGCTTTAGATGGACAATTTAAGTCCATTGATTATTCTAATAGCTCTGTTGATGAACAAATTTCTGATGGATCTGAATTATTTTTTGATTTTTCTTCCGATTTACTATTTTTGATGTCCGGCGGTAAAATTGCATTTTCTTTTATTTGCTTTTGTTTAAAAAGTTGTAATTTGTCATCTACAAAAATATACTATGTTAAAACTTTCCCCAAATATATATTTCTATATTTAAAATCAAATTTGATTCCAAAAAAACAATGCTAGGACTAATTAATAACTGCATCATCACCATGATTTTTCAATAAACAGTAATTATATCTATTATAAAAATTATATAGCTATTTTTGTTAACATACCGCTAGTCGAAATTAATTTAGATGCATATTTTCCGCCTTTACATTTCACCACACACGTACCTCCTTGGATTTGTGTTATAGATTTGGAATTTACGACACAAAATTCTGAATCGTCATATGTGATCAAGGAGAATTTAAATAATCTATAATAAAAAAATATTTAGTGTCAATTATTTTTGATAGATATTTTTAGTTTTATTTTTAAAACGTTTCTTGCTTCTCCCATAAACTTATGGTTTTTTGGGCTAAGTATGCTTACCTTGATAAATCAAATTGTACTCTTGATATAGTTTCAAAAGATGAAAAATCTGTCGTATTATTCTCTTCCGAATCCGATGCGTTATTTTCACCATGTATAGTGACTGAAGACATAGGCTCTTTATCTGATCTGTTTGATCCTAGTGGAGGTAGATTTTTTATATACTCTTTCATGTATAACATTGTCGACGGTGAAATATTTTGATAAGCACGACCACGGCTCGCAGGAATTCTTGGTGCTATTTGTGTTTCTTGATTCTCCGCGTTTATTGTCCCCATTAAATTCTCACTTTGTTTCTTCTCTTCAAGATTTTCTTTATTATCTATGTAAATTAATGTATTAATATTTTAGTCCTGGTAACGTTCTAATATAAAATCTAACTCTAATGTATTCTACGGAACTCTACAAAACTCCGACGGATATAATCTTGAGTTTTACTTAATTCGGTTAGTAAGTAAAGCATTTTCCTTTGACGCTTTTTAGACTTTTACAGTCATATAGTTTCTTGTGTTTAATTATGAAAAAATGGCGCCTGTGATGCTTTAAGTTTATTTTTATTTATTTTTTGGACAAAGTAGCACGATCTAAATGATCGTTTTTCTATTTTGTGGCCAAATTTGTTCCAGAAATTTTACAAATATTTTTGGAAATAAAATTCGAGCAATATTTATAAAATTCCGACGCGGGTTTGAAAATTATATTATTTCTTATTCACCTGCTGTGATTTTTTTCTTAAAAATCATTTTTGAATATTTTAGCAATAATTTTTCATACCCTTTGCATGCTGACAAGGACATGCGATGAAAAAAAGTTATTATCATGATTTCACAATATACAGGCATGTCATGGAAACTAATGTGTCGCATAGACACATAATTTATACTCTTATTTAAAAAAACGGTTTAATTATTTGAATATGTTTTGTATATTAAATTGTATTAACTTACCGTCAGCTTTAATGAAAATTGCGGAGTACGAACAGCCTTTATACTTTACAATACAATTGTCGGAATTGTGATGCTTCACGTCTTTTGTTTTGACAACATAGAAGTCACCGTCATTGTCAAACTTTACTAGGGAAAACATGTTGAACTAAAAAAAAAACTTTCAACGAAATTTTAAAAAATTAACTAATAAAATAAGTTTTAAGTTTTGTTTTATAGAGAGGGTTATTTTACATCTATTGAAGAATACGTAAAATTAAAGTAAAAAAAAAAAATTGGGACTAATAATTATTATAGATTCATTTTCAAATACGCGTCTTCAATCTTTTCTTCCTTTACAAAAAATAATTTAACGATAAAATATGCTAAGCAGAGCTTAAACATACTCTGTGTTTCTTGCACGAATTCGATCGGAAAGCGAAACTGGAGCAATCGCTCTCACTTTTTGATCGCTTCCTCGAGCGAGTAATAATCGCTCGCAAGTAACTCTGAATTAAGCAAAAGTAAAAAAATTCCGATTTGAATTCATTTTCACCCAATATGGTTAAGTCCATATACTTTTGGGTCCACTGTTGTCCCATTTGGAGGTGTGAGATTTCTGAATTCGCCATCAAAAATGGGATTAGACCACCCAATCTATTATTCCCTAAATATATTCCAACGTCAGAAAAAAATGCGATTTGTAGTCACCCAATATGGCTAAGTCCATATACTTTCGGATTTTCAACACTACTCCTTCATTTACTATTAAATTATACCTTAAAATTATACCTTTAAAACATCTCCATATATCCACCCACCTTTCTCTACTCAACAATTATATCCTATTTAGAAGTATTCCAACACTTATTGCTCTCGTTTTCCAAAACTTCTTTATATAACTATAGAGAGCTTTCCATTATTGATTCTCATACCAAATTCGACGATTCTAGATCCATTCATTCATAACATACGAATAGTAACATTTAAAGTACATATTAGAAGTTTTCGTACCCTTTTGGTACAAATTTCCAAAAACGATTTCTCACATCTATCCTACACACCATCGGTGACGCTGAATCCAAATTGCAGAGCTGTAGCTCTTCTCGGTTGCTTTTCGTACCCTTCCAAACGTCAAAAAATCCAGCCTTAGCACTCACCTACAGCCCAACATCAACCCGGACGGAGCCGATTATATGACACCCTACACCACTGCTGTTATGTGCACAAAATTGCATTGGGTTTTTATAGCCTTCACTCGACCTTATGTGTCAAATTTCATGCCTTTTGGGCTAATTTGCACATTTGGTGCACAATGCATCAAAACTCGGATGAAGTTATATATGGGAGCTATATCTGAATCAGATCCGATTTTCACCAAATTTCATAGAGTTAATTCTTGGTGTATACGACTACATGTGCTAAAGTTCATCCCCTTTGGGCTGATATTGCACAGGCTGTGCACAATAAACCAAAAATCGGATCAAGATATATGTGGGAGCTATATCTAAATCACATCCAATTTTCACCAAATCCCACAGAGTTAATTCTTGGTGTACATCGGCTACATTTGCCAAATTTCATCCCATTTGGGGTATTATTGCACAGGTTGTGCACAATAAACCAAAAATCGGATGAAGATATATATGGGAGCTATATCTAAATCAGATCCAAACCAAACAAACATTGTTTGCAAAATTTCATCTCAATCGGATAATAAATACGACCTGCATTTTGTTCACAAGAATACATGGACGGACATGCATAAATCGATTAAAAAAATGATTCTATGAATATCTTCAAAAGTAACCATGGGTCTATCTCGCTTATTTCTCTCTGTTACAAACAAATTCACAAATACATAAGACCCTTACCACTATGTGGTGTAGGGTATAAACACATTCTATTAAAATTTCGGTTTTAACACTTAGGCAGAAAAGGAAACTTGTAGAACTAAATTTTAATAACAGCAGCATTTGGGGTAGTTTGGACCAGGAAAGGCTGAATTTATTTACACAAAACAAGTAAATAAGCAGCTAATTTCGGCCGGGCCGAACTTTTAATACCCTCCATCATTTAGAAGGAATTTGAAATTTTAAAAAATCCGTCGAAAAATAAAGCTAAAATGAAAAAATACTGAATATCGGGAGATACCGTTATATGGGGGCTAAGCGAAGATGTGGACCTGCATAGATAGGTTGTAGTACCCATTGCGAATATTAAATGCGAAATTTGAAACAATTCTGGCGAAAATGTCGCTAAAATCATCAAAATACCGAATATCGGGAGGTACCGTTATATGGGGGCTATCCGAAAATGTGGACCTACATAGGCAATTTTCTGTCATAGGTTGTAGTACCCATTGCGAAAATTAAAGACGAAATTTGAAACAATTCCGGTGAAAAATGTTGCTAAAATCATCAAAATACCGAATATCGGGAGGTACCGTTATATGGGGGCTATACGAAGACGTCGACCTATATGGCCCCTTTTCAATACCAAAAGTCCTGCACACATTATATACATCTGAGCAAAATTTCATCAACCTATGTCATTTCGTTCGGAAGCTAGAGTGATTTCCACAGACGGACGGACATCGATAAATCGACATAGAATTTTACGCTGATCAAGAATATATATACTTTGTGGGGTATAAAATGTATATTTCGAGGTCTTGCAAACGGAATGACAAACTTAATATACCCTCCATACTATGTATGGTGGAGGGTATAATAATGCATATATTAGTGCATGGACTCCCGCAAACACAAAGACATAAAAGAGACTTCTGAGCAGGGCACCCGGTTTGTGATATTCTGGTCAGGAATTTAAATAAAGATTTTTTGGGTGTTAGACAGGTGGGTTTCCACTATTCAAGTGTAGCTCCAAATAATTTACATTTATTTTTGTCCTATATGGGGTCGCAACTTTTCAGCCGATGTACTCTATTTTCTTTTAAGAACAATAATCCAAAATTTTTTATCACTGTTTTATAACATAATTTGGATGTTATTGATAAATTGATCAAAACACACATTAATACGCAAAAAGCAAAAAAGTTTGTACTCAAATCATGAATTTCAATAAACTCTTGAAGACAAGCAGCATATCGTCATTTCCATGATTTTCTTCTTTTGATCCAATGATTTCAGGTACTCCAAGCGAAGTGTTTCTTAAATTCCGCACAATTGTAGGTAGTTTTTTAAACATGAAAAAATCTGCAAAAGTAAAATGTTTAATAATTGCAAACGATGATCTACGAACATGTACTTACACTTTCCATTGAATTTTGATGAACTGAGCTTCCTGGCATTTGATTTAATTTTACTCCTCAGGTAAGCAAGATTTTCATTGTGATAAACACTGCAAATGGTCAATATTTTCCAAACATTATCCATTTACGTTGATTTTGTTCTAATGTTAAAATAAAATTATTGTATAGGGAACACGAAATTGATTTTGTTCTTTGTTTTGCTATTTAATTCGATTTTGAGTAACAGGGATATGTAAATATATTTTCGACATAATGTAGCACGACCAATGACATCAACGATCACCGTTTGTATGTTTGATGCAGGGCCGCGGTTACATAATGTTGTGTCGAAAGTCGATACAATCTCAAAATCGAATCGATAAATAGCAAAAGAAGAGAACAAAATCAATTTATTGCTCCCTATACAATAATTTTATTTGAAAGGACGCGAAGTAATAAACAAAACATTGGAACAAAATATACGTAAATGGATAACGTTTGAAAAATATTGACCATTTACAGTGTTTTTCACAATGAAAATCTTGCTTACCTGAGGAGTAAAATAAAATCCAATGCCAGGAGGCCCAGTTCATCGAAATTCAAATGGAAAGTTTAAGTGCATGTTCGTAGATCATCGTTTGCAAATATTTAGCATTTTTCTTTTGCAGGTTTTTTATATTTGTAAAAACTACCTACACCTTGTGCGGAATTTAAGGAACACTTCATTAATGTGTGTTTTGATCAATTTTTCAATAACATCCAAATTTTGTTTTAAAAACAGTAATAATATTTTATGAATATTTATTAGTAAAATAAAACCAAAAATTTTTGTGTTGTTTTTAAAAATGTATATGGTTATTTCATCTATTCTTACGGTGACCAACATTTTTGGTTGAAAATAGAGTACATTTAGACATCGACTCAAAAGTTGTGACCCCATGTAGGACAAAAATAAATGTAAATTATTTGGAATAGTGGAAAGCCTACCTGTCTGGCACGGATTTAAATTCCTGACCAGAATATCACAAACCTCTCTCTATGAGGTTTTGAATGTCGCGCCGTACGAACTCCGCGATAAGAGTCGGCCTATATATGGATCGTGTGCACTGATCATAAGAGTGAATGCACTTATATGTGCATTATTTTGTTTGATTGAATTTAGCCTTGCCTGGTCCCAATTAACCCAAATGCTGCTGTTATTAAAACTTAGTTCAACAAGTTTCCTTTTCTGCCTAAGTGTTAAAATCGAAACTTTAATAGAAAGTGTTTTTATACCCTCCGCCATACTATGGAGGGTATATTAAGTTTGTCATTCCGTTTGTAACTCCTCGAAATTCTCATGTTAGACCCCACAAAGTATATATATTTTGGATCATCGTAAAATTCTAAGTCGATTTATCGATGTCCGTCTGTCTGTCTGTTGTAATTACGCTATCATTCGAACGAAATGAGATAGAAGGCTAAAATCTTGCACACATGTTTATTTTGTCAGTAGGCATGTTAAGTTCGTAAATGGGCCATGTCGGCCCACGTTTTTGTATAGCTCCCATATAACTGTACCTCCCAATATTCGGTATTTCGATGATTTAAGCTACATATTAACCGGAACTGTTCCAAATTTCGTATATGAAGTTCGGAATAGGTTCTACAGCATATGACACAAAATTGCACATTCAGGTCCACGGCTTCGTATAGCACCCATATAACGGTACATCCCGATATTCGGTATTTTGATGATTTTAGCGACATTATTAACCGGAACTGTTCCAAATTTCGTATTTGAAGTTCGAAATGGGTATTACAGCCTATGATAGAAAATTGCCTATGCTGGTCCCCGTTTCCGTATAGCCCCCATACATCGGTACCTCCCGAATTTCGGTATTTTGAAGGTTTCTGCCACAATCAACATTGATAAACATAGTGGTTAAGGGTATAAAAAGTTCGGCACGGCCGAAATTACTACTTACTACCTTAACGATTTTCTTCGTTTAAAAACTCACCTGCGCTTCTATGACTTTAAACAAATCAACATAGTGGACAACGAGAACCACCAATAAAAAAGAGGACACATAAAGTACGTTAATAAAATATGGAACGCAAACCCAAAAAAAGTACTGTTCACTATAATAGAGTAAACTTATGATGCAAGTAGGTAGTATGAATATCGGGAGATACCGTTATATGGGGGCTAAGCGAAGATGTGGACCTGCATAGATAGGTTGTAGTACCCATTGCGAATATTAAATGCGAAATTTGAAACAATTCTGGCGAAAATGTCGCTAAAATCATCAAAATACCGAATATCGGGAGGTACCGTTATATGGGGGCTATCCGAAAATGTGGACCTACATAGGCAATTTTCTGTCATAGGTTGTAGTACCCATTGCGAAAATTAAAGACGAAATTTGAAACAATTCCGGTGAAAAATGTTGCTAAAATCATCAAAATACCGAATATCGGGAGGTACCGTTATATGGGGGCTATACGAAGACGTCGACCTATATGGCCCCTTTTCAATACCAAAAGTCCTGCACACATTAT